TCTGGGGCCCTAGCCAATTTCCTTGCGCTGTTGGAATTTTGGGATCAACCATTTTATCTCATGTGGTATTTGCATTCGCCTCCCTTTGATTACAAATGCAGCAAAACATCTTGTGAGAAGCTTCTAGACTGGCTTTGTTGAAAGGAATTATCACTTGACATCATCCATATTAAAAATTAAATTAGGCAACCAAGAGCAAATTTGGGCAAAAGGTTTCTTGCAGCACATTGGTAGCATCCTACCTGTGAACCAGGAGGCCTTGGTTCAAGTCCCACCTTCTGCAGAGGTGTGTAATAACATCACAGGACAGTTTGACTGGGGGAGAAAAGTATCTAAAACTGGGCAAAAGTTTGAAAACCTGTCTGTGCCTCGACTGTTGGTTCCTCTTACCTTATTGCTTGTGCTGGTCAGGAGATGGTTCAAAAGACTCCAACTGTGGTGAGGCTGGAGAGTGATGGTTAAAATAAGCAGAGGAGTTTCCAATGTTCTGACGTGCTGGGAAGGAATGAGTTAAAGCAATGTGATTGGACTTGAAACGAACAGTGATGAAGCAGGAAGAATGTGGAATTTGGGGGAACAGCAAAAGCAGAGCTTAATGAGAACAAGAGCAGCTTTTTCTGTTTAACAGGAAAGGGCCGATGTAGCAACAGGAGGCGGAAGTTCTGCTCAATTCCACCCTTGTCGAAGTGGATAACGTTGAGAGTGGGTGGATGGAATCACTGTACTGTAGCCAGTGTACTTTTTCCAAGGTTATAGCAGTACATCAGGCTCTGTTTCCCATTGTAAGGTTTCAGCACACAGTAGCTGAAGGAAGGAGGAGTGTATTCCTATCTGTCTATCGGTGACAGCAATATGCTTACAATCTACTGCAGTTACATCTTGGGTTGGCTCCAGGAGATTAGAACTAGCTGAAGCAAATTCAAAATAAGCATTTAGAAAGGAGGCTCTGTGGTGTAGCATTGAGCAATCACCTCTGGATGACAAACTACTGAATCTTTTCAAGGATCCTTTCCACCCACCTTCCTGAAAAATAAAGTTGTGTTCCCTTGGGTGTAACTTTTGATTACCTACATGTAAACAAGATATTGCACAGCTGCCTCATCCAGACCAGCAAATCAAGACCTCCTCCACAACAGTGCTGCACCTACCATTCCAGCCTTTCAGTTAGTCTTACTGGCAACGTATCAATGGTGACAACAAGAAATGTTTAGCACGAAAGTCAAGGTGGAAAGGTTTATCTAACATTGCCACACCAGGCCACAAGGCCTTTAACCTCAACAGTGTTTATCATCTTTAAATTATAGAGGGAATACTATTGTGTAATTAACCCAATCTGCATACCTAAATTATGTCTAATTAACTAACCACATTAATATGTAATAGTATAATTATATCCTCCAAGTTCTATTTGATTTACAATTTCAGTTATAATGCCAAGGTATTCTAATTAACCTGATTTACATATGGAAAGTACATGTAATTAGCACAATCCATTAATGTCACCTCTGAGTATAACCTGTTAGATAATTCAGTTTCCCTTATCCAATGTAGAGGCTCAGATTCTAACATCTCCCCAACTTCATTTTCATATGTAAATTGAATGTAAATAGCTTAATTTCTTAACATTTTCCATTTTGAGTGTCAGCCATTGCACAGTTGGTTGTGCTCTTTCCACTTGAGTTGCAAGGTTTTGAGTTAATTCCCATGCACTCCAAAATTTCAATACCATGTACAAAAATCAAATCTGACACTTCAATACTTCAGTCAGAAAAACTGGCTTTTGGATTGTACCTAATACCAAGGCCCTCTCCCTGTTCACATGAATGTAAAAGTTTGGTGGGGTAGCAATTGGCCACTTTAGAATTTTCTTGTTTTTATGTACAGGTCGTATCTGGGCCACTCCCCACATAATCAGGTGTTGTAGCTGTACTGGTGCAGCACAAGTGTTTTCAGCCATTTCTTGACATCTTGTGGCGTGAATCAAATTAGTTGAAGATTGGTAGCTGTGATGCTATAAGGATCAACCACTCAGCACTTCTGGCTGAAAATTGTCGCAAATATTTCAGCCTTGTCTTTTGCACTGATGTGCCGGGCTCCCCCATCGTTAAGGATGGGGAATATTTGAGGAGCCTCTATCCCTTGTTTGTTTTTTTAATTGTCCAGCGCCATTCATGACTAGATGTGACAAGACTGCAGAGGCTTGAATCCCTTGGTTGTGGTTTTGCTTAGTGGTATGCTGCTTCTGCTGTTTGGCAGGTCTGCACCTCACTTTTAGGTGTTACCTCTACCTTGTTTTCCTGTACATCGTCTTTAATCTAGGGTCGATCTCCCAGTTTGGTGGCGATGGCAGAGTAGGGAATATTCTGGGTCATGAGGTTACAGATTGTAGTGATTGTAATGAGGTCAGCCAGCTGGACCTCAAAAAATATGTGTTCCCTGGTCGGACCACATTAGCCCCAATCAGGAAGCCCTGGCTGACAGATATAAACAGGAGTGTCAGAGGTTCTGTTCACACTGAGAGCTGGCTCTGAGGAAGCTGGATCAGTGTCAAGGAGTCTCCATGTGTAAATAAGGGGTGACTTGGTGATGGGATACCGGCCTCTGTGGAGTTATTTCACAAGTTGTGGTCAAAAACAACTGTGCCGCTGATGGCCCACAATGCCTCATAAAGGCCCAGTCTGGAGTTGCTAGATCTGTTCAAAACATTTTCTATTTGGTATATAAGTATATTAAATACCTAAGTTGATCCACATGGCATTGCACTTGGAAATTAAGTCCAGGTGTCAATTTCAGTTGACACATGCTAAATATTAATTAGTCATACAAGTGTAATTCAGGCCCCATTTCAAAGCGCTAGCTTGTATCTTTTTTGTCACAAAACACTTATTACTTGCAATTAAACAACAGCACTCATTATAATTTGGGAAACAAATTACAGTGGGTTAGAGTTGGCTAGAGCCCTTTTGTGGTACAGCGGTAGTGTCCCTACCCCTGAATCAGGAGACCCAGGTTCAAGTCCCACCTGCTCCTGAGATGTGTAATAACATTGTTGGACAGGTTAATTAGGAAAAATAGGTAGAACTTTTGAAAAATAGGCAGAACTTAGAGGTTTAAACTGCAGCTCCATTCAAGAACTGGTCAAAGCAACATTGATAGAACTGTAGACAAAATAGGTCAACAGGAAGTTGTTTTTGTAGACAGGATATATATAGACGGGAAGTACTTAGCTATAAACAGGAAGTACTCAGATATAAACAGGAAACATACAGAGATAAAATATTTTAATATCCTATGTCCACACATATTTTCTGGCTACAAACCCTTACTCTCAAGCATCAATTAAAATCATAATTGTGTCCCACATCATATGAAAATAAGGGTTCTACAGCTTGCCCACAGTCATTCTTGCAATGTCTCAAAAAAGCAAGTTCATTATCAGACCACAGCATGTTGCCAATTTCCCAGTGAGTACACAAGATGGGGCCTGGGGTCATTTAAGGCAGTCGACTGGACAACTAACCTGTGGTTAATTCCAACACCCTGGGCTTCAATCCCTGTTCCAGGTGGAACTTTTGGGCTCTGTCTCACAGCAAAGCCACGGTTCAGCAATCCTTGAATAATCAAGGATGCTACGCGGAAAAGGAGTAGAATTGTCCACAACTGTTACAGTCTGCCTGTTTGGTCTCTACTGTGCAAATTTGGTTACAATACTTGATCAACAACAACAATCACTAGATATATGACTAAAGTGTCTTTATTTCAGTGAAAGATTCCGAGGCACCACAGAAGTTCCATTAATCAATCCACACAATGGGACATGATGAAAGTTTGACAGGAAGGTTTCCTCCAAGGAGGAGAAAGTTTCGGGAGGGGTGAAGGTGCAGGGTTGGCCATCAATGGCAGACTGAAGAAAATCAGACATGAAGAAGGAGCCAGAATCAAGGGAGCACAGTCATGTACCTCAGGAGTTGTAAAACTGGGGGACATTATGAAGACAGGGAGGGGCAAGGTCAGGAACAGGTTTGAAATGGAAGAATAAAATGAATTCATGTCTGAGGGGGATGGAGATATTCCTTCCACCCTCATATTTTGTTCATGTTGATTGTAATGGTCAGATGAGACTTAAATTTTTTTAACATCAGTACTTACAGTTAAATTGTGAGATTCTGCACTGTACTTCATTGCTTCTCTAGAGTTGGTTTCATGCTGGAGCAAATTTAGAAAGGGCAAGCTGCAAATAAGAACAACTACATTGTCATAGAGGGTTTGATGTCAAAAAAAATTCCAAACTGTTTCACAGAGAACAGACTAAATTCACTGTCATACATATTTGGTTTCACCACGCACAGTTCTCTGCAAGCTCACAATAAGCTAACTGGCATCTAGTCACCATGTTGTACAAAGCACCTGAAGCCTGTGCTTATGCAGCATGCATGAACGATCACAAGGGAAAAAAAAGTGACCTGCCTAGAGCCAGCAACTGAAGCAGGGTAGCGTCACTCAATCCAGATAATGATAGTGAGCTTTCCTTTCCAAAGATGACATGAAGAGATTGCATCTATAACCACAGTACTGTGGAATTCATTTACAAAAAGGAAATAAAAGCAATTTAGTCCAGATGAAAAGGCACCATTCTGCAAAACATTGGCACCAGTGGCACCATCTCAGACTGAGATGGCACAATGCCATGAGATCATAACCCTAAATGAACTGTTATGGCCCGCAACAGACCGAATTCTTCTGATTAACTCTCAGATTCCATCAACCTTCTCCCTTTACTACCAACCAAGTGGTCATTTTTGATTATAGACTGGCATGTTAAATTATCAGCTGAAATATAATTTTGCTACACGATCATGTAATCATATCAAAAACAGTGCTTTAAAATTAATTTATCAGTAACAGCAATTTCAAATAGTCTTCATCCAAAAGGTGTATGATTATTGATGACAGAAATACGTAAATAATGTTAGACTCCGCAGTTGAAAAACCGCCATCTTTGATTTAATTATACAGTCTCCCTTCAAAAGACTAACATGGTTATCTCTTAAAAGGATTGACCTAATTGACTTTTCTCTTTGACAGTCTGGATTGTGGATTAGTGGAAAGACTGACTTTTCATAGGGATGGCACAGAAGGCCTTTAATCCCACTGATGACCCAATTTCAATCATTTGAACTTTTGCTACACACTGCAGATTAGCTGTTGATGTTTGAAGAGACCTGATCATTCTGAGCAAATATAAACCCTGCCTCCAAATCACTCCTAGATGAAGAGCTGGGGAAATCAAGATTGTTCATCTTAGACAGAATTTTAACCGGTCTGTTTGGAAAAATGAGGTAAACATGGAAAAAATACAGGACCAGATCTGTAATTGAGGAAACAGCGCATATGACTGATAACAGATGTGTCTCCTGAAATCTTGTGCCAAATTTAGGATAAAAGATCAGGAATACTCCCATGGCAATTACAGGTCATGGCCTACTAGATTAGGTAGGGATTAATTCATGATGGACAGTGAACTTTGGACTGAGAATGCACAGTTTTGCAACATGCGCACATGACATTCAGGAACCATTAATGCACTGGAATTTGTACACTATATTAAAACCAAGATCACAACCTGAAATTCCCACAGATCCATGACAGGAGTCTCATTTTCAGATGTCAATGTCATCAGATTGAGCAAAGCCTAAAATACAAAGTTATATACTGTATAGGGGAGGCAGGGGAGAATATGCTTAGTGGAGATGTACAGATGGGAAACTCAAATCAGACAGCGTGACCCTGGTTTAATGAATTATAGGAGTGATGACATGATGGACCAAACGGTGGAAAGTGAGCTTCCATAATGAAAGTAGACACAGTTCACAAGTTGACAGTTGCAGTTATCTTCAGACACTAGATTCTCCCCATCACTAGAATTTGAGCCAACTTGGCCAGGGACCTTGTGATACAAATTATATTGTATACAAAGCAAGCCTATAGAAATGTGTCTACTTGTTAGTCTGGAGTATTGCTGCATTCACTTGGCAGAGAAGCACTGTATGCGTAAGGGGAAAGATTTAAACTGTTTGCTATCCATTGCAAATTCATAAATGTGCTTGTAGCATATATCAATAGGAAACAGTGAAAATCACTCCCCTCACCCTCAAGCCCCTCAGTGACTAGAGACTCCAGGCTGATGGTCAAGGATAGGATTTAGGGAATGTTGTGCTGTCAGGGGCTTTTCAGTTGAGATGCTAGACCAGGGCCCCAGTAGCCCTCTCAGGTGCACATGAAAGATCTCATGCCACTATTTTGAAGAGGAGAAGGAGAGGTCAACCACTTTATTGATTCCTAGTTATCCCTCACCCACCATCATAAAACATAGCCACATCTTCTTCCACTGTGACTGGCTCTGACTCCAATTGAAACTGCATTGATTCCAAAAGAAGGTTTATCATAATGTCTCGAATCCACAAGGATTACAAGTATCTCCAAGACAATGTTCCTCAGATGGCTATCAGCTCTCGTCAAACTTCAACAGCTAAGCTGCAGCTGCAGCAACAGCCCAGATGATTGAAATTGGGTCATGAATGAGATTAAAGGCCTTCTGTGCCATCATCATAAGTCAGTCTTCCCACTAATCTGCAATCCAGACCGTCAGAGAAAAATCAATTACATCAATCTTTTTAAGGGATAACCACGTTAGTGTTTTGAAAAGAGGCTGTATAATTAAATCAAAGATAGATGTTTTTCCTGAGATCTGCACTCAGTGTCATGCACAGACCACATACAGTTATATAGATGTACAGCATGTCCAACTCATCCATGCTGGCTAGATATCTTAAATTAATCTAGTCCCATTTGCCAACATTTGGCTCATATCCCTCAACCCTTTCAATTCATACAACCATCCAGATGCCTTTTAAATGTTGTAACTGTACCAGCCTCCACCACCTCCTCTGGTAGTTCATTCAATATACACACCATCCTCTGTGTGTAAATGTTGTCCCTTAGGTTTCTTTAAAGTCTTTCCCTCTCACCTTAAACTGATGCCCTCTAGTTTTGGACTGCCCTACCTAGTGGAAAACACCTTGGCTAATCAACCTATCCATGCCCCTCATGATTTTATAAACTTCTATGAAAACCTCTCAGCCTCCGACACACCAGAGAAAATAGCCCTAGCCTATTCAGCCTCACCCTATAGCTCAAACCCTCCTCTCCTGGCAACATCTTTGTAAATCTTTACTGAATCCTTTCAAGTTTCACAATATCCTTGCTATAGCAGGGAGACCAGAATTGCATGCAGTATTCCAAAAGTGGCCTAACCAATGTCCTGTGCAGACACATGATCTCCCATATCCTCAGTGTACTGACCAATAAAGGCAAGCATACCAAACATCTTTTTCATTAACCTATCTACCTGTGAATCTACTTTCAAGGAGCTATGAACTTGCACTCCAAGTTCTCTTTGTTCAACAACACTCCCCAGGACCTTACCATTAAGGGTATAACCCCTGCCCTGATTTGCCTTTCCAAAATGCAGCACTTCACATTTATCTAAATTACACTCCATCTGCCACTCCTCAGCCCACCAGCCCATCTGATCAATGTCCCATTGTACTCTGAGGTAACCTTCTTCGCTGTCCACTACACTTCTAATTTTGGTGTCATCTGCAAACTTACTAATCTCATTGCCTGTATTCACATCCAAATCATTTATATAAAGGACAAAAAGCAGTGGGCCTAGGACTGATCCTTGTGGCACACTGCTGGTCACAGGCCTCCAGTCTGAAAAGCAACCCTCCACCACCATCCTCTGTCTTCTACCTTTGAGCCAGTTCTGTATCCAAATGGCTAGCTTTTCCTGTAATCCATGTGATCTAACCTTGCTAACCAGCCTAACATGAGGAACCTTGTTGAATGCCTTACGGAAGTTCATATAGATCACATCCACTACTCTGCCCTCATCAATCCTCTTTGTTACTTTTTCAATAAAACTGAGTCAAGTTAGTGAGACATGATTTCCCTCGCACAAAGCCATGTTGACTATCCCTAATCAGAACTTGACTTTCCAAATACATGTAAATCCTGTCCCTCAGGATTCCCTCCAACAACTTTCCCACCACTAATATCAGGCTCATTGGTCTATAATTCCCTGGCTTTTCCTTACCACCGTTCTTAAATAGTGGCACCACATTAGCTAATCTCCAGTCCTCCGGCACCTCACCTGTGGCTATTGATGATACAAATATCTCAGCAAGGAGCCCAGCAATCACTTTCCCAGCTTCCCACAGAGTTCTAGGGTTCACCTGATCAGATCCCAGGGAATTATCCAGCTTTATGTGTTTACAACGTCCAGCATCTCCTCTGTAATATGGACAATTTCTAAGTTGTCGCTATTTACTTCCCCACTTTCTGTATCTTCAATATCCTTCTCCAAGTAAATACTGATGCAAAATACTCTTGAGTATCTCTCCCATCTCCTGCGGTTCCACACATAGGCGGCCCCCCCTGCTGATCTTTAAGGGGCCCTATTCTCTCCCTAGTTACCCTTTTGACCCTACCGCATTTATAAAATCCCTTTGGATTCTTCTTAACCAAGGCTATCTCATGTCCTCTTTTTGCCCTCCTGGTTTCCTTCTTAAGTATTACTTCTACTGCCTTTGCACTCATCTAAGTATTCGCTCAATCTCTGCTGTCTATACCTAACATATACTTCCTTCAATATTTTGACAAAACCTCAATTTCTCTAGTTATCCAACATCCCTTACACCTACCAGCCTTGCCCTTCACCCTAACAGGAACATACTGTCTCTGGACTCTCGTTATCTCATTTTTGAAGGTTTCCCATTCTCTAGCTGTCCCGTTACCTGCAAATATCCACCCCCAATCAACTTTTGAAAGTTCTTGCCTAATACTGTCAAAATTGGCCTTCCTCCAATTTAGAACTTTAACTTTTAGATCCGGTCTATCCTTTTCCATCATTATTTTAAAACTAATAGAATTATGTTCGCTGGCCCCAAAGTGCTCCTCCACGAACACCTCAGTCATCTACCTGTCCTATTTCCCAAGAATAGGTCAAGTATTGCACTTTTTCTAATATGAACATTCACAAACTGAATCAGAAAATTTTCTTGTACACACTAACTCCTCTCCATCCAAGCCTTTAACATTATGGCAGTCCCAGTCTATGTTTGGAAAGTTAAAATCCCCTACCACAACCACCCTACTATTCTAACAGAT